TAAAAGGACAAGAGACCAGCAAAGAGATGCTGACAAAAATGACAAAAGTCTTGCAGTTAGTAGAGAAGCAAGTGAAGAGCTAGATTAGACATGCTACTGTCCAGGTCAGGGCTACAGATCCCGTTACACCAAGACACTGGTCGGGCAACCTCCAAAACATCTGTAAGAGCAAGTAAGAACTTTTTAAGTCCCCTTCCCTCTCCTATGCAGTAGGTGTATGTTCACCATCATAGCCAGCTTGGTGGGAGGGAAGAGCAGACATGCTCCACGTGGAAAGAGATAAGTAAACAAAGCCCCTTTCCTCAGTTACAGCTTTTCTGCCTACAGTAGACCTCAGCTGCCAGAGGGCTGAATACTCAACTCTATACCAAGTTCAGGGTTTTGATAACTGCATGATATCAGATGTCTTGATTATCGAACTGGAACATTGCTGTGTGACTGGAAGCAACCAGAAAATGTCATGGGATTTCCAAGTTTCCATTTGGAGGAAGAATTAGTCCCAGTGGAAAAAATAAATAAATTTAAGGAACAATAGGAGACCAAACTATCTATGGATGAGCTCTTGTTCAGCCAATGATTATCTAATCAGGTCAAAGTTTGAGAGTCAGAGATAAAAACTCTCACTGCCAATTTGACAGACCTTGTGCATGTAGAAAAACACTCAGCATTGCCTTTAAAAACTAACCAGAGTATAAATAATATAAAAGGGAAAAACTTCCAATATATTATTTTCAATAGAAAAAAAAATCCACGGTAAAAACTTGTATACATGTATAGAATTATTAAGTGTCAATTAAAAACAAAGAAAAAAAGAAAAGATAACAAACAAAAATAAATTTCCAAATGTACTCTTTTTGGTTGGAGGAAAGAAAAAAACTTGAGCCTCCGTTATAAATGGAAATATATGTAATACATCTCCCCTCAGACATCTAATCTGAGTGCGTAGCATAGACAAGCACGGGGATAAGGAGGGGACTCCTTCCTTATATCCATCCTTCACTGCCCCTGAGTGATCTTTCTCAAAGACAATGATTTTACCACTCTTTGCTTAGAAGTCTCAAATGCCTCTTCAGGAGGTTTCAAGGGGAAACCCGAAGTCTGCAGCACACGCACATGGTGCTCCTCAGCCAACATAGCTGTTTCTTCCCCACCATGCCATGCCACATACACTCTTAGAGCTCTGTTTCCCAGACTTCAGTCACTCACACACCGCCTTCACAGTGTTTGCTACATTCACGTTCCCCCAGAATTGCTATCAATTTAATAGTTTTCTATAAACCAAGTAATGTTTTTACTTAAAATTATCCTCATGCTAAGCAGTGTCTTTTAGTCAAGTTTTAATGTGCCACTTTCAATTTTACTAAATATTTGACTATTACTCTTGAAATTAACTTTTTAAAATTAAGAAGCTGCTCTCTGTGTCATGTTACACCACCAGTCGTTCATGTAACACACATTGGTATGCACTGCTCTAGACAGAAACTACAGTGACTTCTTTGTTGTACACTGAGCATACTGTGCCTTTGAAACTATTGTTTTCCTCCTCTTACCAAGTCCTTTTGCATTATCTGGTAAAGTTATTCTCTTCCTTTAGGATTAACTTAGCCCAAAGTTACCTTCCCATGGAAGCTTCCCCAAATCACTTAAAGCTAGATGTTTCTTCTCTGTATTCCAAAGTACTTTCTACCTACTTTCTACCTTTCTTCAGTATGACATTTATTACATTGTAGGGAGGGCCATACTATGTACATGTCTGTCTCCCTTATGAAACTGAGTAGTCATCCATGGGTTATCCCATGATCTAGGTCGGTACATAATAGATGCTCAATAAAAATATTTGTTAAACAAAGAAAGAATGATAGGTATGTAGCCAAAGCTAAGTTAATGATGTCATTTATAGCATGACTATCTCAGCACAATATTACTTTGGTTACACCAAAGATGCTCCAAACTCTCAATGTATGGAAGATTCTCTACAATTATCAAATAAGACTAATTTAAAAATTAAATGTTTGTGTTTTCCATATATGGCAGAAAGAACACAGAGCTGGAAGACTTGAGAAAAGAGTATGCAGTTACATTGGAAGTCAGTGTAAATTGTTTATAAGACTTTGCATGTAAGTTATTCCAGTTATTCTTTTTTAGGAATCCTCCATTTAATTATCACTAACTAACTGCAAATTTTAAAGATGAAAGTTAGGGAAGCAAACTTAAAATAAAGCAAAGGATGATGAAAGCAGCTACCAAGCATTGGTTAACTCTGATGAAATGACCTCATTAAAAACAAACAAAAAAACTGTTACTAATATGAAGCATACATAAATCACTGCTCCATGGTAGCATCACCATGTGATAATCAAGAAAATTCCCTTTTCCTGTTGCACTTTTCCAGGCTTCCAGAAGAATGAGTCAGAAAATGTTCCGGGTATAGTCATACACATGGGAGATCTTTTAATATTGACTTTTAATCCCAGCAAGAGAGTTATTCCTTCTTGTCCTTACTTTTCTTATATTTTTTATTTTGAATACTGATTTATAAAGGGTCAAAATATAAGTTGTTTTATATTTTGCTTATACTGAAAATTATAATGCTTATACAAATAAAATCTTCGAATGCTCTTATAGGGATGGGGTCTCCCAGCAGAATGGGGCAAGGCATGGCACTGAAAAGTTAACAAGACAAAAACAGCTGCTCTAAAGCTGCACTCTGTGTTAATCAAACCATCTCTCGAATAGCAGGAAGGCTTATATCAAACACCGTAATTTGCCCCCAAGGCCCTGTTTTTACCTTGATTTAACAATTCCCAATGATAGCAATCTGTTGCCCTCATCCCACACAAGGCCTCAAGCTTGGGGTTCTGCTGCTCATACCAGCTTGCCTTCGGTAGCCCCTCAAGGAGAAAAGCTCCCCAGGAAGGAGATAGAGCTTTATTTTTATCCCAGTTAAAGTCCCTGTCCAATCCATTAACAGCTTCGATAACCTTGGTCCAGGGCATTTCCTGCAGAAGCTATAACCAGCTGGGGTTAATGAACTCTCCCTACCATTAATTCCTGGGAGAGGCCATTGGCCTGAATTGTTACTTAATTACTCTTCTGTGTACAGCTTCATAAAGCAATGAAATGCCTTCTTTCAGGAAGAAGGGAGATGGTAATGGGGGTCATCAGAGGCCATTAATTTTACAAATAGTTTATTGGAAACGACAGTATGTTAAGAAGTTACTCTGGCTCACAAATCAACTCAATGTGGTCCTTCCTAAGTAGAGATCCAAAACTTCACAAGCTTCCGTGACTCGCATACACAAAAAGTCACAAACGGTACAGAATCTTATCAAAGGAACATACCTTCAGGTATGCAGAAATATATGCTTTAGATTCTGCAACTGATCATACCTTCCCCTCCAGCTCCTGTTCCTAAAGTTGGCAGGAAAGACTCACTAAAGTCAGTTTGAGATATCATAAAATTTTCCAATTTAAAAATCTCTTTCAGGTAATTTCTCAGTCTTTGAAGGAGATTCTCCCTCTCCAGTGTGTTGCTCTTTCCTAAGATGGTGGCAGGTACAAGGAAAAGCTACGTACCCAGGAAGCATCACAGGAAAAGGTTTGGGCTTTCACGCCTCCCCTTCCTGCTCCTAGATCTGCTGGACTCTGTGTCCACCTCAGCACAACTGGAGGGCTTCTCTTGTCCACCCAGCCTCTTACCACATCTACAGACCACTTCCGGGTCTGAGAATGCTCAGCCGCTTTTTCTGCACCACCCTAGTTATACTTGCAACAACCTCCCCGCCATACACAAAACGCATATACATACTGCATTCGCTGTTACCTCCTTCACCTGTTTCTGTTTCCTCACGGCAGTGTTCCCAAGCAAAACAGCCTCACTGCCCAATATGCTGGAAGCCAGTACTATGACGTAAGGTTTTTGAGGTTAAAAAAAGAAAAAAAAAAAAAAAAAGCTTTTTACTGTAGGTCTACCAACAAGGAGACAGGAATCCAACTAAAATCTGTCTACCTGCGCTGGCTTTCAGGCAGTACTTTTATTAGAAAAGGTTTAGGAAGTGGATTCTGGAATTAGCAAATGACTGGTAGAAGAAAAGGGGAGGTCTGAAAAGTCCTCGGGCATGCACAATTATCTCTTCATGCCTCCTTATGGGTCCCATGTGCAAATTTAGAGGAAATTAGTATGAAACACGCAGTGGAAACTCAAGCTGTGACATTAGTAAGCTTGTTCTGCACAGACTCCAGTTGGCCTTATTGGTTCCAACCAATTTCAGCTAGGTTTTTTGTTTTAAAACCTCTCAAATAGAGGGAGTTTCAGCATTTCTGCAAGTTGTTCATTTTCTTATCTGCTATTCTGCAAGTTCAAGAATTTCCGTTAGTCACTGGTTTCTTTAACTCTTTGGGGTATGGTTTCAGCAGTCTCCTTTTTTATCGTATCAAGTAAAACTAATTTTATTTATTTTATTGATTGTGTTACCAGTTCCCCCTACACACATGCACACACACACACACACACACACACACATCTTAGAATATAAACTTCATGAGGTCAATGGCTTTTGGCTGCTTTGTTCACTCTTTCTCTCCAGTGCTTAGAACAGAGCCTAGAAGACACACATCGTGCTCATTCAGTGTTTCACTGTTTGTTGAATGAATGAGTAGTTAGTTGGCTATATGTTGAAATTAGACTGCTGGCCAAAGGACCTAGACTTTCCATTTTAGTTACACTGGGGCAGGAAGAGAGCTTTATCTGCCAGAGAAATAAAAGATAGAGGCTGCTCCTCAAACTACCCAGAAATCAAATCTGTTGAACCTACTGCTACTTAGGGCAGACTTGGCCATGAAATCCATACACTTATCTAGGCTCTAGACTCTACACAAATGATGAGAAACCATTGCCAGTCACCCTACTATGACACGTTGCCCCACCTATCCTATGTCAAAAGAAGAGTCATGACCTCTCAGAATGTTCTGAGATTCTACTGGATAGTTCCAGTGGAGAAAGATTAGACTCCTCAGAAGCTAATTGACTAGGGAAGGATCAGGGAGACAAGATACACCAAAAGGGAGAGGTAGAGTTTATAGAAGAAATAAAGGGGAAAAAAAGAAACTAAGGGGAAGAGAGAGCCAAATGATTTACATGTACTTGGTTTTCTGAGCCCGCTTTAATACTAAAGATCTTAATATCTGGAAATTCTGGCATACACCAAGATAGAGAGCAAAGATTATTTTTCAGGGCAGTTGTAAACCTACATCCATGCCCATGGTGCTTTATGGAAAGCAACTGGCCTAGAGCAAAAAGAGACTTAAATATTGATTACCTCTATTTCTTTATATTGTCTTATATAAACTTCCACAGGGTTTTATGTTGATAAACCATCTCTGACTATGTCTACTAATAGGATGTATATTCCAGCATTATCTCTGTATCCTGAACGTATCTTTACTAGGGTATAATCAGATCATGGGCAGAAGAATCAAAGGGCTGAGTTTTGTCATGGTTAAAATGTGGGGATTCGAGGGAGAAAACAAGTTAACTTAATTTGGTTTCTACATTTTGGGAATCTTCCCCAGTTACTCTGTTCTTGACAAATGCAGCCATTTTTCCAATTCATTACATACATCTCTGTTGGCATTTTAGGGAATCTACAATGGAAGGACACAAGAAAGATCAACTGGATTAAGTAGTCATGATTATGCAAAGCCACATCCAGAGACCAAGGTGTAAAGCAGGTTTGCTACTGACCCCTTCCCTCATCTTCCAGCCTTCTTCTCACCTTCTACTCCTGTTATGCACCCACCTCCACACCCGACCCCAAGCATGCCATACCCTCCTGAAGTAATTACTATAAATCCCCCATCCAAGCAAGCCCTTCCAAGATAGGACTTAACTTTCCAATATTACCCTTCATTCCTATCTAAAACAAAAGCCCCAGTGCCTCACTACACTAGTTGTGGTTAATCAATTCAAACACAAACCAATGAATTAATTTACATTAGAAGAAAAAGAAAAATATATCAAGAGCCTCCCATGTACCCTTTCTAAAATACTCTAGAGTTACCATTATTTCATTTAAATTTACTTCAAAAAAGATGTTTGCATTTTTGAAAGCTATGCCTAGAGCCTATGTGTGTGTGTGCTTAATGGAATGACTTTCATGGTAAAAATTTCAAACTTTGTAGCAGACAAGTGAGGGAGAGGTGTTGAGCTGGGAGGAGGAAGGGAAAGAATGAAGCCCTATTATGCTGGTGGAAACCCCTTGTGGCTATGCAGAATGCCAGGCCCAACCAGAAGTGATGTGCCAGGTGCTGAGATAAAAGTGTTCAATAGATGTGTATTGTATGAGCGGGTTTTGTGAATAGTTTATCTAAGAAAAGATTTCCAAGAGAAACATTTCTCTTCAATGCTAGGGGTTATTTAAGGAAGCAAAGCTTCTCATGAAACCAGAGTGGAGTTGCACTATTAGATTGAGCACTTTGGAGGAGAAAGCCTGGGAAAGACCCTTGCTGACTGAGCTGAGAATTATCGAAACAGTTGTAGAGCATGACCAAGAAATGTAATTTTTCAAGAATGAAAATGGTATGCCCCCAGAGAGAGCAAGGTTAATAAACTAGATGTCTTCTAAATATCCTTTTTGGCCCAATGATTATTGATCTTGAGATAACTGGCCCTTGTTCATTTTGGGGGCTGAGTCTATAGGTCGGAGAAAATGGAAATCTTTAGATTGGCTCAGTCAAAAAGAAACATTATCAGTTTGAACACGGACCTTGAAAGGGATATGCAGAGAATGGATGAAGCAAATCAGAAACTTCTTCTTAAAATCCAAGAGAGAGAAGATAAGATTCAGAGGTGAGTATTAAGGTTTCATGAGGGAAGGTCCCAATCCAAAGAAGGGGTGGAGGATCAAAACCAAAACTGAATTTTCCTGCTTGTTCTAGAGACCTCTATCTTGTGTGTCAGGAAGTTACTTCTTCATTCTTTGACATTTCTCTTGAACACTGAAGCACAGCAAGTTTCAAATAGATTCCTACAAGATGGAGTTGAGAGAACATTGGGGTGTTTGGCTTAGGAATCAGGCAGGTCTTCCTTTTTATAATACTGAAGTGATCGTGATCCTGTGGATTCAGTAAGGAAGAGTTTTCAGCTTGAGATTCATGTACACTGTCCCTGAAGTTCCCTTATATCAGACATCTGTGTTTTATCAGTTCTGAAACTGCCAAGCATGGGTCTTCATGGCATATGCTTGTGTTGTCCAGACTGGAAAGTGAGATCACTCAGACGGGGGACCTGGTGGAAGATGAAGAGTGGGAGAAGGAGAACCACACCACGATGGAAAGGGAAAGAGCCTTGCAGGAGCTGGAGGAAGAAACAGCCAGACTTGTAAGCAAGAAGTTGGGAAGAGCCGTTTAATAGGTTGCATTCCTCATTCCATCCTTCATCAATTATCAGATAAGCTTATCTCTCCTTTTTATACATGAAGAGTAGCCACCTCAAAAGTCATGTCAGAATTTGTCCATGCATGGAAGGGGATGTGTTTGGCTTCTTGGCAATGTTTAATAATTGGGAAGCCCTACAGATGGGCACCTATACCCCTGTATTTTACCTGTCGTTTGATTTCAATATACACACGACATTATGCAAATGAGGTCAAGTTACTGAAGGAAAATATAGCTGGGGTGAAATGGACAGCAATCAACTGAATGAGAACAGGTGGAGTACAGAGGCAGACTTACACTGTTATTTCTCTCTCACAGGAAAGGAAGAATAAGACATTGGTTCACAGTATAACAGAACTTCAACAAAAGGTGAGGTGGGGTTCTTGTGTTCTCCAGTGCCCCCACAACAGCCCCACTCATCAAAGAGGCAAGGTTGGGGGGAAGTGATCATAGAGGAACCCGTAAGTCAGAGAGGCCTGTATGGGGAGTGCATACTACTCTCTAATCCACTCTCCTGAGGCCAAGGTTCATGACCTCAATGTTATGGATTTTCTGAGTAAGCATGAGGGGAAAGGAATGGATGGAATATTTAGTAATCTCATGGGTTCTTCATTCTATCGCCAGAAAATGGGTTCCAACAGATACTCTGTTGAAGTCATTGACTGGAACTTTTGTGGTGAGAGGTTAATTTTACTTTCAAAAGAGAACTTTTAAACAACAACAATAATTAACTTAATCCCCAAGGATTTCCTTTTTCTTACCTAGCCATTTCCAATACCTCAATACCTCCTCAGAATACAGTGGGCTTCCAATGACTACCCTACTCTCTGACCCATGAGTAGAGACTAGCCCTCTACTGTAGAGGGCTGTATCCCTGAGTAACCCAACATGAATCGGGATTGAGGAAAGTACTCCTGCATTGAGTGGACTCTAGCATCAGTGGCCAAGACTAGTGAGAAGAAGATGGAGGTAGAACAAAGATGTTTTCCACAGGTCACCAAATATCTACCAAAGGACTATGTCCTGGAAAGTTTTATCAAGGCCATAGTTACTAATCTCCACACACCAGAGAAAGTCTTTGCCTTCTACACCTTTTAATTTAGTACATTTTTTTATTTGAAACTATAGCTTACAAGGAAATCACAAAAGATAACCAACTGTGAACAAAGCAGTCCAGATGGAGCCCTAGAAGAGACAAAGGTAAATGAAAAAGCAATCCTAAATGTGGTTGGGCTATGTAACCAGGAAATAAGCTGTTAAGTTGGAAATCATTGTCAACGTTGTGACAAATTCTTGGTAGTTTTCCCCCATATCAAGCTTAAGCTTGAGCCACTGAGTGCTGAATTCTTCTCTGCCCTTAGTAAGGAATATCGACTCTTAAGTCTTATTTATTGTTCTCTCTTCTGTTAGGAAGAGGAGGGCACAAATGCATATGTAACATGTGGGGGCAGTTAAAGTCCCCAGTTTAAAGCCACAGCACATAATTTGGTGTATGAAGTTGGGTAATTTAATTACTCCCTCTTAGCCTCAGTTTCAAGATTAAATGAAATTGTGTATATAAAATATTCTCTCCTTTAAGTTTTACGTAATTATTTAAAAGTCTTGCTGAGGTGCATGTATGAATTCAGAGAGGCAGAACTAGGATTTGTAAGTCTACTGAGTGCTCGGCAATTTATGTACCCTGTCATGGATTCCAATCTAGAAAACGATTCAATTAGTCACTCAAGTATTTAATGTGACCACTACCTGCTAAGCACATCATACTCTGCTTAGCATGTCTCTAATTGTGTTCCAGAGCTAAGAACCTGAGACCAACCACAACCTATTTGATGAGAGAGAGAGAGAAATTTTTTGTATATATTCAGGGGGTACAAGTGCCATTTTGCTAACATAGACATGTTGCATTGCGGAGACTTTATTTTTCTTCAGAGAAGAACAGATAAAATTTTTTGACACCTTCTCTAGAATTACATCTTTGTCCTTGCCTTATCTAACTTCTCTTTACCCTCTAAAGCCTACACTTGGTTGTGTGTATGAAGCCTCTGAAGATTTGGATACATAGAAAATATAAATAGAAAATGAAAGTATGGAGAATTACTCCCCTATCTTCTGGCCAATTTAGTTTTGATGACCACAAAAATAGGAAGTCCAAAGCCACCAAATAAGCTTGCTTGGCTGTGCTCATTCAGGTAAGTTACCTGGAAAGAGAAATCTGGAAGAAATTGGAGCCCAAATTAGGAAGAGCTATAAACACCCCTGACTGCACTTGCCATATGATTCCAGTGGTCAGGACACTGATTTTCTTACAAAATAACTTATTTTTCCCAGAAAATAAGCCCAGTCAGAATTGAGTGGTGACACTTTAAGTCTGGCTGTGCTCACTATATCAGGTAATAGAGAATAGAGTCTAGTGTTAGTCAGAATAATGGCCATTATTTTGCTGGCTAGCCCTAAAGAGTTCTAGAGTATTGTTTAATCCTTTGAACCACTCTTTGCCCACGTATTTTATTGAATTATCAGGTGATAGCTCTAATTCTGTGAAATGTACAGAATCTCTTTTGCTTCTGTTCCTCTGGCATGCTAGTCATCAGTGCAGCAGCTTTAATGGAGTGTCTAATTCAACCCTTTGTGACTCACACTATTGGCTTGAAACTATATATCCCTTAGCACATTTGGATAACTGGTCCTGGATGTAACTAACTGAAGAGTGAAGCAACTCTCAGAAGAATCTGGGTGTGAAATAATAGCACCTAGGTGAAAGTGGGAACAGCAGAGCCAAAAAGGGAAGGAAGAATGGGCATGTCTGCTCTTCTGCCAAATTATCTCCCAAATGTATCCATTCCTCTCTGCCACTTCTGTTACTACTAACCTTTTGCAAGCCACCATAACCCCTTACCTGGACAAAAGGAGTCACCTCTCAACCAGTCTCCCTGCTTCTACTCTCACACCCAAACGATCCTTTTCTTCAGACAGAGAAAAGGCTATTCTCTAAAAACATTAATCAGATTGTGTCTTTAGACTTCAAGCCTCTCCTGCCTTCTCACTGCAATTAGAACAAAGAACCGAAATCCTTTTAGAAGCCACAAGGCCCTACACAATCTAACCCCTGTCTACCTTATCCCACCTTGCTTCCTACCTACCAATTTCCCTTACGCTCTGGTCACACAACTCCCTCATACAAGCCAAATCTGTGATAACCTCATAGTCTTGGCCCTTGCCATACCCTTCACAGAGAACATCTTTATTCCAGATCTCCATTTAGCTAGCATTTATCATTTAGGCTTTAGCTCAGGTATCATCACATCAGAGAGGCCTTTGCCAACCACCTACCACCTCCTCTCACACCACCACTACCATCACTATCTGTAAACATTAATGTTTTTGTTTCCTTCATAGCACATACCATTATCATGTGGACGTATTTGTTGTCTTCCTACTAGAATGCCAGCTCTGCAAGGGTGGAGAGCTAGTCCATCCTGTCTACTACTGTATCCTAAGTACTACTCCCTGCCCCCCGACACACACATGCTTCACTCCAGCATAGCAGCTGATGTAGAATGGTCTTTTTCCAAGTATTGAAGGAAATAAGAGGGCGAGCAAGGCATACAGGGAGGGAGAAAGGAGTGAACAAATGCCTTAGAGCCTGATCGACTATATTAAAGGAAAAGGAAGAGTGAAGTTTTTCAAAACTGGTATTGTTTTTCAGAGAAATGGCTAAGTAAGAGTAGGAAGCTCAGAACTGAAGTTTAGGGATGAAGGTAGCATCAGATGAAGACTAAAAGATAAGGAGTATAAAAGAGCAAGTTTAACAAGCAGCTGCAAAGGGTGCTGGGTAGTTTAACTCCTCCATCAGGAGACATGTGAAGTCGTGGCCCTGAGGCTCCTCGTGGCTTGTGAGACCACCTTGGTGACAGCATTCCATTCCTGCACAGCTTTCACCTTGCCAAGTTAGCAGTCTCTTTTGTTTTCTTTAGGTTAAGTTACAACAGCTGGAAGCTTCCTATGCACGCCAAGAGAAGGAGCTGCTCAAGGTAACAGCAGGAACTTCAGTGTGACTTCTCCCGGAAAAGGGAAATGTGATCTTTGGTCAGACAATCTATTTCTCAAATGATTGATTTACATAAAGGTTCCAGATCCAAGACCATGATGGGGCTAGGGAGGGGTAAAAAAAGGAAGATAAATACAATCCCTGAGGTGACCTTCTCTTCAATGTTTTTTTACAGAATACACTCAACAGTTTATATCTTGCAAATATTAGTATCTATCTATTCCTCTCCCAACTGCTCCCAAATTCCACCTTTGACCAATAACTCCCATTTAGCTTATTTACCCTAAAAAAAGGAAATCCATTTACCTGTACAGCAAAAAAGAAAACCTATTTAGAATAATTAGAAAACCACATTTAGGAGCTGGGACACTGGAGGAAGCAAGTATGCTTGTGTTCTTACAGCAATTTACTGAAATATATTTACAACCCAATTTTGATTTCCCAGGTAATGAAGGAGTATGCTTTTGTGACCCAGCTCTGTGAAGATCAAGCCCTCTACATAAAGGTAGAGCTTCTTGGTAAAGGGCTAGCAAAGAGTTTATTAAGGTACAGGATGAAATAGAACCAGGATTTTCAAAGAATACTGTCCAGAGCCATTTCAACACTTCAAGGTGGCGCTACTGGGAGACTTTAAGGTCGTCAGCACCCCACCTCGCTACCAATATCACTCTATTTGTCTTTGTCTCCCTGGGAATTCCTGCCCTGCTCTCCCTCTCTCTGTGCTGTTAAGTTAATAATTCACACTTCTGCTATTTATAATGTCAGTGATGCCCAGAAACCTATCCGGTGGTAAGGCATAGTGAGAGATCAAGAGTAGTGGTGGGGTGAGGTTTATGAAAGCAGAGAAAGTGGCAGTGGAAATACAAAGCATTCATGGTATCATGTAAAATAGCAAGTGCTCATTACGCTTAGAAAAATTAAAAACCTCCTAAGTAGTAACTGGGGCTTCCTTTGTTTCTCTTTGAAGAAGTACCAGGAAACATTGAAGAAAATAGAAGAAGAACTAGAGGCTCGGTTCCTTGAGAGAGAAGTGTGAGCTTTGGCAAAGGAACATCCCGGTTTTGGTAGAAACTCCATCTCAGCCTGAGTCAGAGCAAACAGTTCTCAGACCAATTTCTATGTGGAATTGAATGAGTTCTGACACCACATATCTTTGCCCTCTGTTACTGATCTGGTTGACCCCGGTAGATCACACCAACTTAAAACTTCCAGTCATTCTCCCATCCTTCTAAAAAGACCTCAGAAACACATCTCCCTTCATAATTTTATCACATTATCACATTATTATTTGGGTTGATACTAAGAGTAGAAACATGTACTTTAAAAAGAGTTGGTGGTCAGTCACCTTGATAAGTAGGCACCTTATATAGTCACCTTATATATCACAGAAAAGCCTTTTAATTAATACCATCCTCACTTCCCCCAAATATATGGACACCCAACCATATTGGGTAGGCATGAAACTAATCTCTAGACTCATACCACAGCTACTACATTATATAAATCAGAACTGTACACTGTATTGAACTACAAACATTTAAAATTAGAAATTATAAAGGGAAAGCACTTCTCATAATACACTGAGTTTGTCAAGAGTCTAAATGGTGAGAAATTACCAAAAACCTCATCTTCATTTCTTGACCCCCTCTGTAAGTTAAATCTTAATGCAGTCAAGCAATATTTCTATTTATGAAATATTTTTAAATCCTTAGATCAAGAACAAGAGATCAAAACTGCATATAGCTTCTATATAGGCCAAATACAAACTGTGGCCTAGGGACCAGGGTCCTAGGACTTGTAGGTCCTTGTTTCTAAAGGACACCTTCAAGTCACTCAAGATCCCTGCTGAACATTGGTTTATGGCTTGACTTGTTAAGCCAAGATTCTAGAACAGGTTGCCCAGCAGAATTTTCGGTGCTAGTTAGTAGGTAAAACTAACTACATATGGCAAACTAACTACATATGGCAATTGAGTACATAAAAGATGTACTCAACTGAGGAAATGAATTTTAACTTTAATTAATTTAAATAGCTATAGGAAGCCAGTAGTTACAATATTGGACAGTACAGATTTAGAATATAAAGCTTTTTTAAAATGACAGTGGTGTAGTATGAATATTTTAGTGCACTTTGTTCAATTTCTGTCCTGGCTCTTATCTTCATAGATCAAAACTTGTGAGCATGAACTCTGTGGAAAAAGAGCATACCAGGCAAAATAATGAGGTAAACACTCCACTCTCTCTTCAGCTCCTCACAGTGTCATTGCCTTTCAAAGACATCTCCAGCAAACTCTAAGGCACCACATGTATACCCAGTCTTGCCATGTGCATTTTCCAAGATAATTATCAGCTATAATTACAGAGCATTCCAACCCTAAACAAACAAACTAGACTCTAAGGAACAATCTACTTTCTTCTCATTCAGCCATACAAATAACAGGCTCTTAAAAAACTAGCCAAAGACCTAAGAGAACTCAGAATGGAGGCAAGAAGCAACCTTAATTGAGGGTATGCTCTATAGAAAGAGGCCAGTATAGGGCACATATACCACCTCTTCCATCTCCTGCAATCACATTACTCTTTCCTGATGATCTCGACATGGTCCCTAATCTCTCTCAACACAGAGCACCCACCATCTATCATCATCTAGTCAGAGTTGGCCTGAGAGTTAAAACATAGAAAGCTATTGCTTCTTATTGCTTCTTTATGACAGTTTCAGTGTCTGTTCATATTTAACATTATGAACCCACCAGCACACATGTAAAGGTCTGAAGGAAACAGAACAATTTCATGCAGAGAACCAATCCTCTTGGCCTGCTTGATATCTTGTGGCAGCAAGAATAAAAGGTTAAACTTGGGTTGGGTTTTAATTTTGTAATTTATATTGACTTTAGAGTCCAGGTTAACAATCATCAGAAATACATATAGTCAAGATAAATTATCAGAAAAGAGAACTAATCACTCCCTTAAAAGCAAATATCAAATATTGGCCATTGTGCTTGGGTCATCCAAATGTTTGGATATATGTTAGGCCATGTCCGTGGTTCTTAGAGTACTGAACAAGTCATTCTGGCCCTGAAGCTTGCATATTCTGCTTAGTAAACAAAATCCTTGAAATTAACTCGACCTACTTCTGTAGAACCAAGTTTTTGACATCTCCAATGTGTCCTACCATCTCTTCCCACAGCTCATCAAAATATTCCTTCTAACTATGTGTGAGAGGAAAAAAATAAAGTTGTCTACATCAAGTTCATCAGGGTCCCATGATGGTTCAATGACCTAATGTCGTCTGAGCATCTTTGGAGAGAGGATGCCTGAGAACTGACTGTTTGGCATGACATGTAATCTTACTCAAACTACAGAACAAAATTTGTAATCCTGAAAGCTTCTTTGTAATTCCGATTCTGTGAGCCTCATTTCCACAGCTCTAATTTTTTTTAGTAGAAAGAGGAATTCTCACTATGTTGTTCAGGCTGGTCTTGAACTCCTGGGCTCAAGGGTTCCTCCCACCTTCGCCTCCCAAGTAGCTAGGACTACAGGCACCCACCACCATGCCTGACTTGCTCTAAAATGTGATCGTAATTCCTCTTTTTATCTCACAAGGAAGGTTAAAGGACAATGAAACAACAGAAAATATTTTGAAACAAGAATGCTACAGAAATACAGGACATAGCCTCATCTTTAGATTTATTTTTTTCTTCAACTTTTAAAGTTCAGGGGTACATGTGCAGGATGTGCAGGTTTGTTACACAGGTAAACGTGTTCCATGGTGGTTTGCTGCACAGATCATCCCATCACCTAGGTATTAAGTCCAGCAGCTATTGGCTATTCTTCCTGATGCTCTCCCTCCCACTACCTCACCCCTGCTGACAAGCTCCAGTGTGTGTTGTTCCCCTGCATGTGTCTGTGTGTTCTCATCATTCATCTCCCACTTATAAGTGAGAACATGCAGTGTTTGGGTTTCTGTTCTTGGGTTAGTTGGCTGAGGAAAATGGCTTCCAATACCACCCATGTCCCTGCAATATGTATATGTATCACATATTCTTTATTCAGTCTATCATTGATGGCACTTAGGTTGATTCCATGTCTTTGCTATTGTGAACAGTGCTGCAATGATATTTGTGTGCATGTGTCTCTATGATAGAATGATTTATATTCCTTTGGGTATATACCCAGTATTGACATTGCTGTGTCAAATGGTATTTCTGCCTCTAGGTTTCTGAGGAATTGCCACACTTCTTCCACAATGGTTGAACAAATTTATACTCCCACCAACAGTGTAAAAGCATGCCTTTTTCTCTGCGACCTCACCAGTATCTGTTGTTTGACTTTTAAATAATAGCAATTCTGACTGGCATGAGATGGTATTTCATTGTTGCTTTGATTTGCATTTCTCTAATGATCAGTAGTGTCGAACTTTTTTTCGTATGTTTGTTGGCTATATGTATGTCTTCTTTTGAGAAGTGTCTGTTCATGTTCTTTGCCTACTTTTTAATGAGGTTGTTTTTTTCTTGTAAATTTGTTTAAGTTCCTTGTAGACTCTGGGTGTTAGACCTTTGTCTAACATAGTTTTCAAAAATTGTCTCCTATTCTGTAGGTTGTCTGCTCACTCTGATGATAGTTTATTTTCCTGTGCAGAAGCTCTTTAGTTTAACTAGATCCCATTTGTCAATTTTTGCTTTTGTTGCAATTGCTTTTGGCATTTTCATCATGAAATCTTCGCCCATGCCTATGTCCACAGTATTGCCTAGATTTTCTTCTAGGGTTTTAACAGTTTTGGGTTTTACATTTAAGTCTATAATCCATCTTGAGTTAATTTTTGTATATTATGTAAGGAAGCAGTCCAGTTTCAATTTTCTGCATATGGCTAGCCAGTTTTCCCAGCACCATTTATTGAATAGGGAGTCCTTTCCCCATTGTTTGTTTTTGTCAGATTTGTTGAAGATCAGATGGTTGTAGGCAAGCAGTCTTATTTCTGAGTTTTCTATTTTATTTCATTGGTCTATGTGTCTGTTTTTGTACTAGTACCATGCTGTTTTGGTTACTGTAGCCTTGTAGTATAGTTTGAAGTCAGGTAGTGTGATGCCTCTAGCTTTGTTCTTTTTGCTGAGGATTGTCTTGGTTATTGGGGCTCTTTTTTGGTTCCATCTGAATTTTAAAATCATTTTTTTCTAATTCTGTGAAAAATGTCAATGGTAGGTTAATGTGAATAGCATTGAATCTAGAAATTATTGATTCTTTCTATCCAGGAACATGGAATGTTTTTCCATTTGTTTGAGTCCTCTCTGATTTCTTTCAGAGTAGTTTGTAGTTCTCCTTGAAGGAGTCTTTCATTTCCCTTGTTAGCTATATTCCCAGGTATTTTATTTTTTGTAGCAATTGTGAATGGGAGTTCTTTCATCATTTGGCTCTCTGCTTGACTGTTGTTGGTGTATAGGAACGCTGTGACTTCTGCACACTGAGTTTGTAGCCTGAGACTTCGCTGAAGTTGCTGAAGAGGCTTTTGGGCTGAGATGATGGGGTTTTCTAGATACAGGATCATGCCACCTGCAAACAAAGATAGTCTGACTTCCTCTTTTCCTATCTGAATACCCTTTATTTCTTTCTCTTTCCTGACTGCCCTGGCTGGAACTTCCAATTCTATGTTGAGTAGGAGTGGTAAGAGAGGGCACCCTTGTCTTATGCCATTTTTCAAGGGGAATGCTTCCAGCTTCTGTCTATTTAGTATGATATTGGCTGTGGATTTGTCATATGTGGCTCTTATTATTTTGACATATGTTCTTTCAATACCTAGGTTATTGAGAGTTTTTAACATTAAGGGATGTTGAATTTTATCAGAGGCCTTTTCTGCATCTTGAGATAATCATGTGGTTTTTGTTTTTAGTTCTGTTTATGTGATGGATTATATTTATCTATTTGTGTATGTTGAACCAACCTTGCATCCCAGGGATGAAGCCAAACTTGATCACTCATCTTTAGATTTTTATAGCTTTTAAGACTTCTCTCTTAAGATATGTTTATGTAGTTTTCTTAGCCTATAAGCTTCTCTAAGGGTCACTGGTTAAGCAGAAGATAGAATGGTATAGTTGAGAGAGCCAAGAATGTGGGGTCAGACAATCCAGGTTCCAGGCCCGATCCTGCCACTAACTAACTATGTGACTTTGGGCAGCATACTTTGACTTTCTGTGCCTTAGTTTAGTTATATAAATATGTAAAAAGGTAGGACAAATAACAATAATAATAAATATATTTTAAATTTTTGGCCTGAAAATTATATGTGCTTATGCATATAAAAAGAATTTGTTAAAGTTATCTAAATAACATATAACTAATGGTTGACTAAATATTATTGGACAATGATAATAGCCTCCAGAAATTGCTTATTTATCAATATCCTTTCTTCTTCTTCCAGGGTACTCCTACCCAAAAGACAGCAACATTTTTCAGTAGAAAGTAAGTAAAATATCTTCAAGTAAACTTCCTATAAAACTGGGAGCCCTATTTAGCCATCCTGACAGAGAGAAAAGTCTAGACAAGGAGAACCTTGTACATGCGTGTGCACACACACATACACACAAGTCAGCAAACTAACGTCTTTGACTGTATTTCTCTATTCTAATGTTATGACTTATTTATTTAAAGGTAATTAATAATCTCAACTTTCCATTATTAAAAATCAACAGCCTTGTGGTATTAAGAAATAGAAATTTGATTATGTAAAAGAGATGTGGCAAATCTCTTATTTACCGCCTTTTCCCTTTAACAATTTGGATTCGCTTCATGTATCTGGTTTCCTAGTAGCATTGGTAGAGTAGAATGAAGCCTGTGACATGCTAGTATACCACTGACAAATAAGAGATAGAAGAGAGACAAGCATTATGAGAAAGAGCATCTAACACATAACGGTTGCTTGAAAATACTGGTTAAATTGAAAAGAATTTAAGATTCAAACACCTGAGTAGATATTCATCCTGAGGGAAACACTGTGATAGCAAAGTAAAATTGGTATTCATGAAGCTACTACATTTTCAAGAAAAGGTCAAATTATATTCAATATAGTCTGTTTAAGAAGGCATAAAGAAACATATATTCAAAATGGTATGAAATATGATTTAGAGAGAGTTCCATCAAAATGTTTAACGTAAAATTATTGATGCTTAAAGGTCAGTTCCAATTATCTAGAAAATTTGCTTAAGTAGAATACCCCTTCATACCAGATAAATGAAATATTACATCTTTCAATATTCCTAGACACAATATTCCTGAAACAACTAGAAGAATTTTCTCTAAAACTCCTACTTGTTCTCTTATACTCCAACACAAGGGCCCACCATGGAATTGACTGTGTGGATTTCTAGAATAAGGACTGTGTGCCTAAACAGACTTGGCATCCTGAAGGAAATCTTAGAAAAGAGATCCTGAAAATCTAGCTAATCATGTCAAACTATAAATGTCTTTTTTCTTTTTCTGCTTCTACATCTTGTGGGGCACTGGTACACTGGACACTAACTCAAGAGACAAGAAAGCTAGGCTATTCCTAGGATTTTCCCTGAGAATGCAATCCCAGAACCTTCTCATGTGTATTGGCTCAAATTTCATGGAGAGTGGTGGGAAGATTTGTCAAGGGCTTCTGATTCTAATTTTGACCAAGGTGTTGTGCTATAATGAGTGCTGGCTCCTGTCACCAAGATCAACCATAGCAGCAAACTTGAGAAAAGTGGAGGGGAAGGGGCTGTTTTTGACCTTTAAAGGTGAATAGTGAATTTGTCCAGGGGCAGAGGCACCCCCAAAACAGCTGGGTAAGGATAATACAGGAAAGAAATGGTGAAGGTTTGCTCATGCAAATCATAACAAAGCCATAAGGCCTAAATAACTCATCAGTTGAAAGGAAAAAAAAAATCAAGACCACCATAGGGTGGTTTATAAAAAATTATTACAAAATGTTACAGATAACATGAATGAAAGAAGACAACATAATTGTGGGTAGAAACTCATATCGAAACAGTAAGAATTGCCTCCAAATGATTAATAAATTCAGCCAAATTTCAATCAAACTCTCCAAAGGGTTTTTCATGGAACTGAATAAAATAATTCTAAAATATACTCTATATGAAGAATAAAGGGTCAAGAATAACCTGGAAAGTTTTAAAGAGCAGGGAGTGGGGAACACGCCCTTCCAGATATCAGGACTTACTATGACGTTATAGTAATCATTATGGTGTGGTATTGGGACAGGAATAGGAAAACTGCCTAGTGGAATGGAACAAAGAGTTCAGAAATTGTGCACATAGCAAACTTTGGTATGTGACAGTGACTGCATGTCAAAGGAAAAGGAAGAACGAACTGTTCAATAAGAACAGCAGGAAAAAAAATGGTTATCTATATGAGATTGGATCACTAAATGCAGTATATACAAAAGGCAAGCCCAGATGTGTTAAAGATGTAAATGCTTGAAAAAAAAAAAATCTTCGAAACTCTGTATTATTTTCTATGCTACATAATAAATTACCCCAAAAACTTAGTGACTTCAAAGAACAAACAATTATTTGCACAGTTTCTATGGGCCAGGTGGTACTAGCCAAGTGGTTCTAGCTAATATCTGTCAAGAGTTGCAGTTAGGATGTTGACCAAAATTGCAGTCATTAGAAGGTTTGGCTGGAGCTAGAAGTTATATTTCCAAGATAAGTAACTTGCGTATCTGGCAAGCTTTTTCTGGTAGTTGACACAAAGTCTCAGTTCCTCACTGCACAGACCCTCCCATAAAGCCACTTGAGTGTCCTCACAACATGACTGCTGGCTTCCTCCACAGTCTGTGGAGAAAACTGCAATACCTTTATGATGTAATCTAGGCAGCTACACTACATACTGTGACTTCCACCATATTCCATTCTTTAGAAGTAAGTTATTAAGTCCAGTCCACACTCCAATCGAGGGGAATTCTCTTGAAAGGAGGAGTAATAAAGAATCTGTAGACATATTTTTAAATGAACATAGACTTTTAATAGAAAATATGGGTATCTTTCAGGTCTTGGGATAGGGAATTTTTGTAAAAAGGACACAGAAAGTATTGATTCTAATTAAAGAAAAGATTGACAAACTATACCCTATTAAAATTGATAATTTTTTTCTTTAACATCTTAGAGCAAGTGAAGGTTATAAAGTTGGGAGGATATATAACACTACACACAATGCAAAATGATTGATATCAACAACGTAAAACAAACTCTTACAAGTCAATAAGAAAAGCTAAAACTACCTTGTAGACAAATGGGCAAGAAGAAACACGTAAAACCAATAAACCTATCAACAGATGTTCAGCATCACTGTTCCTCAGGAAATGCATATTGAGGCCACAGTGAGAGATTATTTTACACCCATTTGATCAGCAAAAGTGTTTACATCTGATAATCAAGTGTTGGCGAGGATATGGGTCCACAAAACCTATACCTTGCTAGAGGGTTATAAACCAATGAAACTGTTTTGAAAAACAACTTGCCAAAACAAAACCAAAAATAAACAAAACAAAAAATAAGAGAACAAAATTATTTTAGTGATAAATGCTACCAAGAAAATAAAACATGGTAAAAGATAGAGAATAACCAATAGGCCAGAACATGGGAGAGGGAAGCTGCCATTATAAAAGGTTGTCAGGAAAGGGGGTGATAATCCATGAGAGACATTAGAATATCAATTAGGAGACAGATATGCATTCAGGTATGATTTATTTTTTGTTCCAAGTTTTCTAACCTTCTGGTTAACAGTTTCATGGCATTCTCTTTTTAGGATTTTTTGCTGTCTCTTTTTCATCACCCTATTTTTCATCAGACTGCTGAGCTACCTGTTTTTTCATGTAAGATTCATAAATCCAGATCTCCTCGTCAATGTACTGCCCAAGGTGCTGAGCAGGAGCACCTTGTGGAAGCTCAGATGCTTCTTCTTTCCATCTCTCACACTTGAGACAGAGGACATGTTACCCCACTGATTCCTCAAGAAATATCCTTGAGCAACAGAAGGGAAGTGAGATCCGAGCGTGTAGAAGGGAGGCATGAAACTTGTGGAGGAAAGAGATTTGCTTCAGTTTTTTCCTCATCGTTTGCCTACTTGACTACCTTCCGTCACCACATCATCTTTCCAGGATTAACCTTGCCCAGTAAAAAGCTCTGTAATAGATTTATGTGGCTCTATAGATCGGCTGAATTAGTACCTGATAGTAAACAAATCTGACCCTGGGGAATTACATAGATGCTAAGAAAAGTTAATTCATAAATTATTCTAGTGAGTCTCAAAAATCTGACACATTGGATTCCTGAAATACAGAAGATTACTTACTACTTATATTAGAACTCATAGGTTGTAAGTGACCTTAGCTTGAGGTAATTTATAGCAAATCCATAAATATTTATATTTACATATTTAAACATAAAATAAAAAGCCTATGAATAAATACGCCAGGCAAGAAATCAGAAGACTCCATCAATTATCCGTCTTTCAAGGACATCAATTTAACAACTATCTACATAAAGAAAGCACCTTTATAAGAACCAAAAATCAGATGAGCACTCACAGTCTGTAGTTTTAACTTCATACTGCTGAAAGAGGCACTGAAGAGATAGGAAAAACAATCTGGAATCGCCAACGCCACCCCTTCCCCATCCTCCAGCAGCAGGGGTGTGGTGTGGAGAGCATTTCTGAGTGCTGGGGAGAGAAAGATTGCAGCATCTGTGAGATACTGAACTCAGAGCTTCCCTATTATAACAGAAAACAAAACCAGACCAAACTCATGTGACACCTGCCACAGAGGGATCATTTAAACCAGCCCTAGCTAGTGAAGAATTGCTGATCCCAGCTGTCGGAATTTAAGTTTCTGCAAGCCTTGCCACTGCCAAGCTAAAGTACTTTGGAGGCTTAAATAAAGTTGAAATTCCTAGGTGAGTCCTAGTGCTGCACTAGGCCCAGACACAGTGGACTTGGCAGGGAGCGGGGGTGGTCACCGAGTGGCTAAGGGAGTGCTGGAATTACCCCTCCCCTAAGCCCAGGCAGCACAGCACATGACTCCAAAAGAGACCGTTTCCATCTGCTCAAGGAGGACTCAAGTTGGGAGGACTTTGTCTTGCATCTTGACTAGCAGTTCAGCCACTGCAAGAGAGGGTACCAGTCAGAGTCATGAAGCCCCCTTTCCAGGCCCTAGCTCCCAGATGACATTTCTAGACACACACTGGGCCAGAAAGGACCCTGCTACTTTGAAGAGGACTCAGTCCTTGAAGGACTCATCATCTGCTAACTGAAAAGCCTTTGGGCCCTGAATAACCAACAGCAATACTTAGGTACTATATGGGGGGCTTTAGGTGAGACCCTGAGAATTTCTGGCTTCAGGTGAGACTCAGCATAGTCCCAGCTATTGTGGCTATAGGTCAAGATTCCTTCTACCTGAGAAAAGCAGAGGAAAAAAGCAA